TTCTAGGAACCAGAAGATTAAAACAAAAAACAGATGCAGTTTTTGCTTACTGGTTGTGGTTGGCGCTTGCCTGGAGCACTATGCCAGTGTAACGACACCCGAGTAGACCGTGACATCAGGAAGGATAAGGCCCAGGCCCAGCAGCTGTGGAAGAAGAAAGGCACTGGAGAGAAGGCTTTCCTCTGCCTTGCTTTGCCTCCATCCCTGTGTCATCCCAGGGAAAGTGTGGCTGCTGAAGGGTAGTTCATGCAAACAATGCAAACAATATGCCTATATGCATATTGTGTTGCACCACCGTGTTGCTATCCTGCCTGCAGTGTGCTATTGCTGATGCCAGCGGGTTGCATTCTGGAAGGAGCAGCTGGTGTTTCCCATGCTAGTTGAGTGGTGAATCTCTCCTGGGTTTTACTTTGAATGTTGAAAGAGCTGTCCATGGGGGTCAGACTTATTTGGGAGACTGCACCCAGCAGCTTGAGTCACTCCGTCAAAGTTAAGACTTAAACTGGGAGCAGGGTCACTGCCCTACTGACATGGGAAACATCCGCTGCCACTGGATAATTTATGGACAGAGGTTTATGTGCCAGAACATTCTGAAATTGGAGCTTCTCTGGCCAATGAAATCAGTCTCCCCTCCATCCGCTTCTTCGTGAGGAGTCGGGATGATACGCAACCAACAGACTGGACAACATCTGGTCCATTTATTACCAAACCCAGGGTATACTCCTCTTAAACCAGACTAAAATGAGTTTTCCTGTTTGCTCCAGGTCTTCCCAGAAGATCTGAAGACCTCCATTGTGTTGCTGGGTGGCTGTTTGAAATGTGTCCTGCTCTGCCATCCATCATGGCAGTTGTGACCAAGGCTGGGTGCCTCATTCTGACCTCAGGAGCGAGTGCCTTGTTGTTGCAGTGGCTGCGCTGGGCAACACAATAGGATCATAGGATCATAGAGCTGGAAGAGACCTCAAGGGCCATCATATCCGACCCCTTCTTCCATGCAGGAACACACAATCAAGGCACCCCTGACAGGTGGCCACTCAGTCTCTGTTTGAACACCTCCAAAGAAGGAGACTCCACCATTTTCTAAGGCCACGTGTTCCATCATCTAACAGCTCTGACCATCAGGAAATTCCTCTTGAAATTTAGGTGGAATCTCTTTTCCTATAGTTTGAATCCATTGCTCCTTGCCCTAGTCTCTGCAGCTGTGGAAAACAAGCCTGCTCCCTCTTCGATATAAGACCTCTTCAAATATTTAAACAGGGCTACCATATCACTTCTTAACCTTCTCTT